CAAGTTCTATAGATCTTCCTGAAACTATTGCTCAAATCTAGCCCAAGTCCACATTATAGCTTAACCAAGCTATAGCAATAACTTCCTAACAGGTCACCTTAATTTTATTCTCTTATCCATTCTCTAACACAGTATGCTCTTTAAAAAAAAAGAAAAGAAAAAAGAAAAAAAATAAGTCAGGATCTCACTTAGATTGATCTTAGAATGGAGTGTCATCATTTCCTTTAACCTACAGGGCTCTAAGGGATTCTGCATTTCAAAATTTATCTTGTGTCTGCCTCACCCTATCTCTCAAGGTTCTGGTACAATGATTTCCTCAAATGTGGCATACTTTTTTTTTTTTTTTTTTTAAACCTTAGTGCCCCCTACATGCTGTATCCTTTGTAATTCTCATCATTCTTTTCCTAGTTGCCATCACTGAGGAGTTCTTAAATGTCATGACTTCAGAGAGATTTTCCTAACTCCCAAATCTGTGTATACATTTTTTTCATTGGATCTTGAACTTTATAATTTGGGAGCTTAATTATTTGTCCCATCTCTTTCACAGTTGTGGACTAGGAAATCTAGAAAGGCAGGGACCATAGAGGTTTTATAACTGTTGTATATCTAGCTCTTCTACTCTGAGCCAGGTAGATGGTCTTTGAAGGAATGAATTAAATTAGTCAACTTTTTGACCTCAGATGAGGGACTGCACTATCAAGCTGAGATTCTCTTGGCTTCCATATGTTGAGTGAGAGCCTCAGAATTTTATCAAAGGGGGTATGGAATGTAGCTATTTGTCAATGTAAGTCTTTGTCATGGCTTTGATCTGAGGATGTTCCCTTGCCCCAACCTCACTAATCGGCCCTTTAATATTATCTGAAGTAAAAATCTGGAGATTATGGATACATTAAAAATGAAACCATGCTTTTTTTTAAAAAAAAAAAAAGGACAAAAAAGAGTATTTTCCTTGTGTAGAGTATGAAAAAATTTACTGTAAGCTCCTTTGTACATGTATTTGACTTCAATTTTGTATTTAAATCTCTATTAATGAATGTGAGTACTATTTAAGAACTTGGGTTTTAGATGAGTTCATTCTTAGTGGTGGGATCTTGGGTAAGTCATTTAACTTTTCCAAATTTTTTTTTTATTTCAAAAAACAACCCAATGGCATTTTTTAAAAAGTAATTATATGAGGTAATGTATGTAAAGATTTTTCCTAGTGCCTGCCATACAATAGTCATTTAACAGGAAATCACTTCGATGCATAAACATTTTTAGAAGCTCAGTATGATAGAGTAATGGATTGAGTATCAATAATCTTGCATTCAAGTCCTGTCTCTACCAGTCCTAAGCTGTATGACAGTAAACATATCACCTGACTTCTGAGCTTTATTATTCTCATCTGTAAAGGGTTGCAAGCACAATTGGCCTGGCCTGCCTAAACATTTATTTGAAGGATTACACAAAAATATTACCTTGTAATCTATAAATAAACTTACACTATAAAGAAATCTTTGCCATTAAAAACAGGATGAGCTGGGCACGGTGGCAGATGCCTATAATCCCAGCTACTCCAGAGGTTGAGACAGGAGGATCAAAGCCAGCCTCAGCAATGGTGAGGTGCTAAGCAACTCAGTGAGACCCTGTCTCTAAATAAAATGCAAAATAGGGCTGGGGATAGGGCTTAGAGGTTAAGTGCCCCTGAGTTCAACCTCCAGTACCAACAACAACAAACAAACCAGGATGGCTGTGACTCCATATTAAAGAAAAGCAGGTGTGGGGTTTAGATAGCTGAGAAGTCAACTGGCTCTAGAATGTGAAATAAAAATTTCTGAGATTCTGTCAGAGATTCAGTGAAACTGGGCAGCATTCCACTTGCTTTGCTTTCCTTTTAAAATAAAAAAACAGCCAGCAGGACTGTAAAGACTTAAATATATTTGCAAATTGATTTTTTTTCCAGAGTATTACATTCAATGTCCAGGAATTCCAGGCAATATTCTGGAACTCAATTCCTAAGTTCACGTAATGGAAGGTAAAAATCACCCTGGAAAGTAGAATTAGGCCATCTGCCACATGACTGTTCATTCCATCTGACATGTTGTTTGCTTTCTATTGAAATTATTTTCACATTCATATGAATAATCTATTGGAATATCTGTTTCTTGAAGGCAAGTGAACATGACAACTTTGCAATACTGGAGATCAAACCCAGGGCCTCACACATACTAGGCAAATACTCTACGACTGAGCTATACCCAGCTCTCATTTTAAAATTTTATTTTGAGATAGGTTTTTCTTAGTTGCTGAGGGTCTTGCCAAGATGCTGAGGCTGACCTCAAATTTGAGATCCTCCTCTCTTAGTCTCGTGAGTAGCTAGGATTGCATGCACCACCATGCCCAACTCTGACAACCTCTTTACATAGTGATTATTTATAATCATAAAATTGCTTGTATATTCAGTAACCAAGTAGTTTCTATATTAACATGTTAATGTAGAAATTTAAATTTAATTTTAATTTAAAAAGCTTAGTACCATCAATATATTCTTTTGGCATTATTTATTCACAAATCCTAGGTATATGTCACTGTAGAAAAATGGCTCAGTTGATATTAGTGATCTTTCTGGTTCTTTCCCACTTGGAATCTGTGTATATGACTGAACAAGTTGCTAAACTCTCAGGGTTGTACTGAAATGGACTGAACCTTCTTATATTTCATTTAGCACTTAGAGTTGTTTGATTCAAGATACCAAACTCAGTATTTTAGAAATCTGTTACACAAATTAGTCTTTTTTTTTTTTTTTTTTTAAATTCACCTGGATTTTCTTTCAATCTGATTTTTTTTTTTTTTTTAAGAGAGTGGGGGAGACAGAGAATTTTTTTAACATTTATTTTTTAATTCTCCGTGGACACAACATCTTTGTATGTGGTGCTGAGGATCGAACCTGGGCCACACGCATGCCAGGCGAGCGCGCTACCGCTTGAGCCACATCCCCAGCCCACAAATTAGTCTTTTACCAGTTCAATAATAGAACTTGCATGATAGATGGGTTCTTATTAGACATTGCTACACTGATGTCATCCTGAATTTTATTTATCATCCTTCTCATCAAATAAAAAGCCAGTAATGTCCAAAAGCTAGCATGTGCAATAGTCTCTCAACAGATGTCTCACTCATCCATTATTGCGCCCTCCAGTTCATTTCTAACTTGCATCTGGAGTGAGTAATAAAGAAAAGAAATTGGGTTTATATTCCACCCTTGCCTTATGACTTTTAGATTTAGAGTGAAGACCAGAATCCTTAAAGAGACAAATAATCCTATTCATCCATTAAAACAGCCCACACGTGACATTCTCAAGGAAAGTTTCCCTGTCACCATTCAGACCCAGGTGAAGGCCCTAATAAACATTGAGAATATGGGCACTGAAAGCAGATAATTAGGGTTTCCATCCTATTTCTGCCATTTTTTTTCCCTCAATGCCATCAAAACTGATGTGATTGATTAGTTAAGTTTGGTTACCATTAAATCTCCCAAATGGATCAGTTAGGGTTATTACCATGTTAAGTGTTGCTTACCAGTGAATTCTGTGCTCGGGTAGAAAACCTCATAGGAGGTGAAATAAGAGTGAATAAACAAATGATAAAATATGAAGGGGGGGGAACTAAGAATTTAGGAGGGTCTTAGTATCCTCACATATAAATTTAGGCATACCAAAACTAGATTATTTCTCAGTTCCTTACCTGAGCACACCAAATACCAGTATTTTCAGTAGGTACAAAACAGCAAATACATGAAAGTAAAAACTGTCCATGGGGCTTAGAAGATAAAAGTGAATGGCCCTAAAGACATGATTCTGCTTTCCTTTCAGAGTTATAGGGAACTTTTCAAAATTGTTTTTTCACCTTAAATGCCCCTTTTAAATTTTTTTCCCACTATTGGGGATTGAACTCAGGGTCTGGGATTGAACCCAGAGCCAGACAAGTGCTGTACTACTAAGCTACATCCCCAGCTCTTCTTATTTTGAGACAGGATCTCACTAAATTGCCAGGCTCACCTTGAGCTTATACTCCTCTTGCCTCAGCCTCCTCACTAGCTGGGATTGTGTGTGCAACCATGCCCAGCCCCCAAATGGCCTTACTAATTGTAGCCAAGTAGAAAGAAACAGGTCAATGTAAAAATTCAGAAAAACAATATTAAAGTAAAGTAATGTCAGTTGTAAAGTCTAGAAAATTTAAAGAAAGTTCACTTATTAACATTTTTTTAAAAAAATTAAAACAGCTGAGTGTAGTGTCACCTGCCTATAATCCCAGTGATTTGGGATGCTAAGGCAGGAGAATCACAAGCTCAAGGCCACCTTAGGTATTTAGTGAGAACCTTGGTAACGTTGCAAGACCCTGTCTCAAAAAAGTACTGGGGATATAGCTCAGTGGTAAAGAACATGCCTAGCCAGCATGAGGCCTTGAATTTAAGCCCCAGTACTCAAAACAGCGTTCCATTTAATTAACTACATATTTTTTGTTTTTAATATAAAACAAGAACTTGACTTATTTTGACTTGGTACTATCTTTCAACCAAAAGTATATCCTCAGATGCTAAAATTGTGAAAGCCTAATTAATACAACTCTGAAGAGTACATTTGTGAGAATTATCTGTTGCTGAATAATCTTCCTGTTAGATTATATATGCCTACTGCATTTCATAGTGAGCTTCTGCTCTTGGAGAACAGAAGACTCAAAAATTACTATTTACTTTTGCAGACATCATTTATATTTAAATTCCTGCCTAATTTTCAAGGAGAGAATTTATGGACTATAATTAGAGTGAAGCGTGTGTGTGTGTGTGTGTGTGTGTATGCCTCCAAAAACATAAAAAGAAAGTGAACAACTCATTGGATTTTTCCAAGTTGAAATTCAGTGAAAAGGATGAAGGGGAAGATCTGAATCACTTTTTTTAGGGAAATTTAGAAGCTTCAGAGGAATTCAAGTCCCTCTGTCTTGGATAGGAGCACACTTCACACCTTGACTGACCGTTCACTGTTAGGAGTGGCTCTTCTTTTCCACATGCCGTATTTCTTTCTTCATCTTCACCTTATAACCTTCTCCCTGCTTTAAAAGGAATGTACATGTTAAGATTTTGTGGTGAAAGAGTTTTAGTTATAGTTTCCACTCTGGTCCCTGGAAGCTGGATTAGGATAAATGAAACTGTTTAAAGCACTTTGTTACTTCAAATCCAAAAAGACATACAATCTCTTTGGCTTAACCACACAGCTTAGCATCATGGAAGCAAGCAAAAGCACCATAAAGATAAATATGAGATAACTGTACTTCACAATAATTCAGCAGGTTAGTGATACATTTAAAAAAAATCTACAAGAAATTGTCATTAAAGCTCACAAGACAACCAAACCCCAATTAAAAAAAAAAAATCACAATTTGTGATTTTTTAAGCCAGCTGAACTTGAAGTTATGATATAATGAGAAAGAAATTTCTCAGTAAAGCACTAATCAAGAACTAAATAACATGGAAATGCTACAGATCTGAGGGTCTGTTCTTCTTCTGAGGTCTGTAGAATTACCAAGACAGTCCCCTTGTTCCTAGACCAAGGCGGCATTGATTTTCCACAAAACAAGATCTTTCTTCACTGAACCCCAGGAACACATTTCTCTTGAGAGTGAGGCTTTTGTACAAATACTAGTTTTCATCCTATATGTAACAGAAAATATCCTTTGATTTTTTTTTCTCATGTAGTCCTGAGAAATTTTCACTTTTTTCTTATGTAAACATAATCTACTAAATAAGAAAGGGTAGGAATGGAGTGGTAGCTCAGTGGTAGAGCGCTTGCCTAGCATACGTGAGGCACTGGGTTTGAACCTTAGCACCATATAAAAAAAATAAAGGTATTGTGTCAATCTACAATTAAAAATACAAAAATAAATAAGAAAGGGTAAAAATGTGGGAAACAAATGATAAATAACTAGATTTTTTCTTTGAGAGATGGGGCTTTATTGGGTGAACTGCACTGCTCAGTGTTGAGTCTGGTTTTGTAACTGGCACATTGGAAATAGGGAAACCTAAAGAGGGGAACCTCTTTAGGCAAAAATGTAATTCAGATTTCCCCGTAGAATATTTTGGAAAGGGAAAATGTATGGATCTGATATCAGGATTGTGAACTGAGCTTTTGCCACCCAGCTATTCAACTCCTGTCCTTTGGAGTGTACTCCATCCATTTCCCAGGCAGGCACTCAGTTGAAGGTCAGTCCTGTTTAGGGCTTGGCCACTCCCAAGGGGGGTTTGTAGGTGGCAAAAGGTTTTATTATCTTCCTCTCTTTCAAACTAGCACATTCTGTCACCAAATAAATGAACTCATGTTTGTGAAGGAAGATAGTAAAAAATATATAACATTAAGGAATGTTAGGAAGAAAAGCCTTTTAATTTGACCCTGGTCAAATGCATATATCAAAAGCAGCAAATGCTTCAAGCTGCCACACTGCAGATGCCAGTCCGTTAGCAGCTTTTTTATGGAGTGCACAAAGCTTTTATCATCTACTTTTTCCTTGGCAGTCTCTCTGTATTACCACTTCATCCTGTTTTCTCTCTTGTGGGATAATTCGTCTTATTACTTTCCGAGTGATCTGCAGGAAGCAATAGTGAACAATAGAGATTTTTCTGTTTTAAGAGGTGATCCTATAGTATGAAAATCATGTGATTTTTAATGCAGAAAATTTAAATTCCAAGAGAAGCTTAAAACTCATTGATTAATTACTTTTCTGGTGATGAGGTTGCCTTCTTCATCAGTGAATTGTTCTTCTGTGACAGATTCACCAGGAATGTTTTTTGCTTCCTCTCCCTAAAGGATGTGGTATACAGGTTAGCAACAATACTAGAAGGAGAGATCTCCACACCACTCCAAAAACCACACACATGCTCTGGAATTTGAGAAAAGGCAGTAGCGAATTCTACTTGCTACTCCAACAAACATGACGAGGAAAGACTGGCTTCACTGATGGTTATTTTGCAGCCAACAACCTTTAAGCATTAAACCTCAAACATCTATTCAAGCATGTATAGGACAGACAACAACAAAATGCCAAAAAGGAAGAATCTGGAAATATATAATTGTAGAATGAAATCACACACACAGAAACGCCAAAAGGCTTTATTGAAAAGTTTTAGTGGATTACGGCTCTGACTTGATCATCTCAGAGTGCAATGTTTCTTCTTTAGTTATGTATATCTACAGAGATTTTGTAGATTAAGTTTTGTCTAATTTAAGAGAGTACCTTAGTTGGGGCATGATATTTATCACCCTTAATAGTTTAAAAACTAACTTATTAAGGGTATATATACATTTCGTGAAAGACTATGAAAAAAATTCAGGATACAGAGAAAGTCTTATTTTTATTTATTTTATTTTTGACAGTGCTGGGGATTGAACCCAGGGCTTTATGCTTGTTAGGCAAACACTCTACCACTGAGCTATGTCCCCAAAGTTCTAATTAAGAATGAGCTTTTCACAGGTCTTAAGATAAGTGAGGAAATATGTCTCATGAAGACATAGTTCAAAAATACTACTATGAAGTGAAGGGGTCTTATGCAATGACTGACTGTCCAAAGTAGGGGGAAAATTATATTAAATTCCTTTGGTACTGATTTTGGTTAGTAACTGTTTGGATTTAGAAGAGGTAAATTCTTAAAGCTCTTCCTCTGGTAAGTTAAAATGGAATAAATTCTCAAATCCCAGGCTGGGCTCATGTTCTCTTGTTCATAAGCAGTTTGATGGATTCAGACAATTCCTTAATATTGCTTCATGAGTGCTATGATTATATAAAAAGAAAAACTGCATGGAGAAGAACACTTGGACTGTATCTATAATAACATTACCTTCTTTTTTTTTTTTTTAAACTTCTAGAACTAGTAAATGAATTGAGCAAAGTAGCAGGTTATGAAATCGACACCCATAAATTAAAGGCATTTCTGTATATCCATGACAAATCCTCTGAGAGGGAAATTAGGAAAACTATCCCATTTACAATAGCCTCAAAAAAAAAAAATACTTGGGAATCAATGAAAGAGGTGAAAGATCTATACAATGAAAACTACAGAACCCTAAGGAAAGAAATCAAATAAGACCTTAGAAGATGGAAAGATCTACCTTGCTCTTGGATAGGCAGAATTAATATTATCAAAATGACCATACTACCAAAAGTACTATACAGATTTAATGCAATTCCAATCAAAATCTCAATGGCATTCCTCATAGAAATAGAAAAAGCAATCATGAAATTCATCTGGAAAAATAAAAGAACCAGAATATCTAAAGCAATCCTTAGCAGGATGAGTGAAGTAGGTGGCATCACTATACCAGACCTTAAACTATATTATAGAGCAATAGTAACAAAAACAGCATGCTATTGGCACCAAAACAGAGTGGCAGACCAATGGTACAGAATACAGGACACACAGACTAACCCACAAAATTACAATTATCTTATATTAGACAAAGTTGCCAAAAACATGCATTGGAGAAAAGATAGCATCTTCAACAAATGGTGCTGGGAAAACTGGAAATCCATATGCAACCCCTATCTCTCATCATGCTTAAAACTTAACGCAAAATGGATCAAGGATCTAGGGATTAAAACAGACTCTGTGTCTAATAGAAAAAAAGTAGGTCCTAATCTTCATCATGTGAGATTAGGCCCCAACTTCCTTAATAAGACTCCTGTAGTACAAGAATTAAAACCAAGAATCAATAAATGGAATGGACTCAAACTAAAAAGTTTCTTCTCGGCAAAAGAAACAATCTGTGAGGTGAACAGAGAGCCTACATCCTGGGAGCAAATTTTTACCCCTCACACATCAGATAGAGAGCACTAATCTCTAGGGTATATAAAGAACTCAAAAATCTAAATACCAAAAACACAAGTAACCCAATCAATAAATGGGCCAAGGACCTGAACAGACACTTCTCAGAAGAGGATATTCAATCAACAAATATATGAAAAAATGTTCATCATTTCTAGCAATTAGAGAAACGCAAATCAAAACTACTCTAAGATACCATCTCACTCCAGTCAGAATGGCAGCTATTATGAAGGCAAACAATAAGTGTTGGTGAGGATGTGGGGGGAAGGCACACTCATACATTGCTGGTGGGACTGCAAATTGGTGCAGCCAATATGGAAAGAAGTATGGAGATTCCTTGGAAAACTTGGGATGGAACCACCATTTGACCCAGCTATTTCTCTCCTCGGTCTATACCCAAAGGACTTAAAAACAGTATACTACAGGGACACAGCCACATCAATGTTTACAGCAGCACAATTCATAATAGCTAAACTGTGGAACCGAACTAGATGCCCCTCAGTAGATGAAAGAATTTAAAAAATGTGGCATATATACACAGTGGAATTTTACTCAGCAATAAAAGACAATAAAATCACGACATTTGCAGGTAAATGGATGTAGCTGGAGAAGATAATGCTAAGTGAAGTTAGCCAATCCCCCCAAAACAAATGTCGAATGTTTTCTCTGATATAAGGTGACTGACTCATAGTAGGGTAGGGAGTGGGAGTATGGGAGGAATAGACAAACTCTAGATAGGGAAGAGGGATGGGAGGGGGGCATGGACTTAGCAATGATGGTGGAATGTTATGAACATCATTATCTAAAGTACATGTATGGGGCTGGGGATGTGGCTCAAGCGGTAGCGAGCTCGCCTGGCATGCGTGCGGCCCAGGGTTCGATCCTCAGCACCACATACAAACAAAGATGTTGTGTCCGCTGAAAACTAAAAAATAAATATTAAAAAATTCTTAAAAAAAAAAAAAAAAAAAAAAGGGCTGGGGATGTGGCTCAAGCGGTAGCGCGCTCGCCTGGCATGCGTGCGGCCCGGGTTCGGTCCTCAGCACCACATACAAACCAAGATGTTGTGTCCGCTGATAATTAAAAAAAAAAAAAAATAAAATATTAAAAAAAAAAAAAAAAAATAAAGTACATGTATGAAGACATGAATTGGTGTGAACATACTTCATATACAAACAGGGGTATGAAAAAAATTGTGTCCTATATGTGTAATAAGAATTGTGACTCAATCCGCTGTCAT